ATTTACATTGAGCACTGTTTTGTAAAATAAAAAAAAATATCAATAAGAACACCGGATTTTATATCTTACTGTTCTTTATTTTATATATATATATATATATATATATATATATATATATATATATATATATATATATATATATATATATATATAAAAAAATATATAATAAAAAAAAAATATTAGTTGTTAATACACACACACGGATATCAGTTATCTCCTGCTAATTTCCCTCTGAAAGTTCTCCACTGCCTTAACCGGGGATTGAACTCACACTCTTTGGGTCCTGTCACTGGATCTAACCAACGCCTTTATCCACTGTGCCATCTGGGTATGAATTTCTGGGTATTATAAACCTAATGTCTTCAGCAACCATTTTTACCAGTGCTCGTATTGCAATTTTTGCTATTATCATTTTGTGTTTTTACCAGAGCTCATATTGCAACTTTGTTGTTATCATTGCTTTTCTCTGGCACTCCTTATTACTGGTTCCCATAGGCAGTGGAGAACTTTCAGAGGGAAATTAGCAGGAGATAACTGATAACTGACATCTATCAAACATGGCACGCGGAACTAGAACAGTGTACCCCAGTGAGCGAAATAAAGGGTTCAGTTCGAAATTCCAACCACCTGAAGAAGGCCGGAGCGTACAACGGCAGAAACGTTGTGATAAATATGGCGACAAAGATGAGGACAATAGTCCGAATAATGTAAATAATGTACTGACAGACTATCCATAACTTCAGGTAAGCGCTTGAAGCAATATCGTGCAGTATCTTTGTGGTTTAAAACGTTTCTGTCAGACGAGTAATTGTTGATACAGCAAAAGTATCCTGTTTTAAATTGTCCCTTCTGCACTCTCATAATTCTTGAGAGAGAGAGCAGCAGCAACGATTAGAGGCTTATAAAACAAAGAACAATTTAAAACGGGATCCTTTTGCTCTATCATCATTTACTCGTCTGATAGAAACATTTGAAATCACATTCCTTCACCTAAGGAAATATTATGATATTCTTAACTTCTTCCCTGGCGTAGAGGTGTATATACGTTATTTTTAGTTACGGACGAACAAACATTTACAAATTAACGTTAGAAAACCAGACGTGTTTGATTCTTTTTATACCCTTTTGAGTTTGAAATGAGTCCAATTGTCAACTCATACTCATCTGCTAGAGGGTGTTAGCCGCCGCTCGAGTACTTGAAAATGCCTCAGTTTCTTAGTTTATTAATAACACATGAAAAAAATCGTCTTAATATCAAACGCTTTCCCAAATTCATTGGCCGGTAAGGGGTTAATCTTAAATTTCTATTTGTAAGCAACTTCTATGGTCATCCGGTAATTTGTGCAATTCTTACGGCATTACTTTTCCACTTCAATCGTACTAACGGCTATAACAAATAACGGTATTGAATATTATGTCTTTCTTTCCAGTGGACTGCAGTTCGGCAGGAGACAGTCAATTAACTGCAGAGGTTATGAATAATAACCAGCCGATCTTATATGAAATAGAGCCCGACGAAAGTCCCGGTCATCACCAAATCACCTTTACTCCGATCGCTCTTGGTGAAGTCATACTGAACGTTTTCTACGGTGGTTACAGAATTCCAGGTAGGCATGCAATAAACGATGACTGCGTATTTTCCTCAGTGAAATCTTCATTCAACAATTTTATCTATCTGTATAATATTGTATGATTTGGTTTCGTTACCAGATTGCATTTTATGCATTCATAATTGTTATGGTCCAGGTTAGGACCAAGGAAGAACAACACGAACACAAGAGTAGAAATAACGAAGGTATATTACACGAAATAATAATAAAAGATGTGGAAGGTGTTAGTATGACTGTCAGTCTGGTTTGGAGTGAACTACTATCGGCTCGACTCGATTAGGTATCTAGCCACCCCCACCACGAGGGTTGCATGTAACACAAGGCCGAGTTTAACGTGGGTTTCCCGAGCCCGTAGACTCGACCAAAAAATGCCCGTAGAACCTGTATAAACGGGATCGGGTTGGTCAACCTCCCCGAACGAGACTGCCCTTCGGCGGAGCCACGGCCGGGTTCCTCTCTGCTCAGAGGCAGAGAGTTCGACCGTCAAGCCGAGAAGCTCGGCTCGATTCGGTATCTAGCCACCCCCACCACGAGGGTTGCATGTGGCACAAGGCTGAGTTTAATGTGGGTTTCCCGAGCCCGTAGGCTCGGCCATGAAATGTCCGTAGAACCCGTATAAACCTTCGGCGGAGCCTCGTCCGGGTTCCTCTCTGCTCAGAGGCAGAGAGTTCGACCGTCAAGCCGAGAAGCTCGGCTCGATTCGGTATCTAGCCACCCCCACCACGAGGGTTGCATGTGGCACAAGGCTGAGTTTAAATCCCGTAGGTCGGCCAAAAATGCCCCTAGAACCCGTATAAACGGGATCGGTTGGTCAACCTCCCCGAACGAGACTCTGCCCTTCAGCGGAGCCTCGTCCGGGCTCTGTTCAGAGGCAGAGAGTTCGACCGTCAAGCCGAGAAGCTCGGCTCGATTCAGTATCTAGCCACCCCCCACGAGGGTTGCATGCGACACGATTGGGTTTCCTGAGCCCGTAGCTCAGCCAAAAAATATGCCCGTATAACTCGTAAAAACGAGATAGGGTAGGTCATTCACCCCGAACGAGGTTCTGCCCTTCGGCGGAAGGCCAAAAGCAGAGTTTCAAGTCGAAAAGATCGGGGTTCTAGCCACCCCCCGAGGGTTGCATGCGACACCGTGGGTTTCCTGAGCCCGTAGGCTCAGCCAAAAAATGCCCGTATGACTCGTAAAAACGAGATAGGGTTGGTCTTTCACCCCGAACGAGATTCTGCCCTTCGGCGGAACCTCGTCCGGGTTTGCTGAAAAGCAGAGTTCGACCGAAGTCGAGAAGATCGGCTTGATTCAGTATCTAGCCACCCCCCACGAGGGGTTGCATGCGACACAAGGTCATTTTTATCGTGGGTTTCCTGAGCCCGTAGGCTCAGCCAAAAATATGCCCGTATGACTCGTAAAAACGAGATCAGGTAGGTCATTCACCCCGAACGAGATTCTGCCCTTCGGCGGAACCTCGTCGGGTTCCTTGTAATTAAAGGAGAGTTCGACCGTCAAGACAAAAATAAAATTCGACCCTTCTTAGACGCGTAGTAAAACATAGTGTTAGGAAAGTTCATTCTGTAATTATAGGTAAGGATCCATGACAATAATAAAATTGTTATTATACTGCAAAATATGATAATATTTTCAGGGTGTGTCGAGCAGCTATATTCCGTATTAATGCTTTATAATGCTTGGATTCTTCGCCGTAATTCGGTAGAAATGGAAGCATTAGAAATGAAGTGCTAAGGAACCGTCCTAGGCGTTTCGTATGTCAAGCAGATCGCAAATGAAACAATGTGAGGCAGCCAGCAAGAAACAGGCTCTTTGAAAGATATTAGAGCCACCTTCAGAAAGAGAAAGTTGAAATGTTATGGAGATATCATAAGAACCAAGAATATTAAGCTAATCGACAATGTATCACCTTAGGCAATAGAAGATGCAGACAAGAAAAATAGGCTGTCTACGTCACTGATAAGACTAGAAGATCATTTACAGAGACTCAAATATAGGCATGAAACGGGTAGATGTAGAGAATCGATCAGGCGTTCATTTGTACAGCGGCCTTTCGACTACATACAGTCATTAAACCTTGACTTGAAGAGGTTAAGATTATAGCTTTCGCGGAAGTATTCCCACAGGACATTGTTACATAAAAGAAGTAGTTCCCAGGAGAACGCCTACTCTCGCGATTATGGCCTCTGGGAAAGTGAGTGTTGGCAGCACTGTCCCCTCACATCTGCCTGCCGAGACACAGTGGACATACGGCGAACGGTAAAGGGTTACATCTAAAGCAGACAGATATGGCGAGGAAGCGAGCTAAGTAGTTTATCCGAACAGTTCCTAGGGGCCATAATCGCGAGAGTAGGCGTTCTCCTGGAAAAAAAAAGACTTTCTGAACGGAATGTTCTCATTACAAATGGAATAGGGTGCAAATGTATGTGATTCGTGTCTGTGGATACAGCATGCCATGCCTTACCTGTAAAGGTCTGGCCTGGTAAAAACAAAGAATGGAGTTCCACTGGACATTTGCCATGGATATAGATATACAATAGTTATAGCTTTCCAATTTTGCATCTGTGGAAAAGACGCTGTATAATCGAATATAAGTCAGCCTACCTCGATAATGCGTAAACGATTTTAAACACTATGAAGGATGGAATAGGAGACATCTCTCCCCCTGACGAATGCGTCTTGGTGGTAGGTACAGTTCTTTGACCAATTACTGCCTCCTTGGCCTTAATGGTAACACTGTAATTTCTATTTTATCCAAGACATTTTGAGGCAAAGAAATAAACCTATCAAGCAGGTCGTATACATAAAGTGATGATTCCATTGGAAATCTTTTGCAGTCAATATCATCGCATTGTGAAAAGAATTTAAAATCATATCTGTCGTATCTGTGTCGCATCTGTTTTTGCTATTCGCAATTTTTTTTTTCATATTTCAAGAGATTATGAATAGAAATGTTATTATTATTAGTATTATTGGTTAGGTATCTGCAAAGAATAGGCGTCTCACAACTTAGAAATCCCCTGAATCTAGGCAAAAATGCATAAAATGTGGCACATGGCTAAAAGGGGAATGGGGAGCCTGTTCATCAGTATTCTTAACTTTTAACTTAACTAGTCACATCCGCTGACCCAGACAAACTTTTCATAACCTCATAATACCACGCATTTAAATGAAAACACATATGTACAACAATCACCAAAACAAGCCTCTCTATGCGATCTTAACCCTGATATCCCATATTTACAAAATATGTGGAGATAAAACGATAAAAAAATAACATAATTTTTATTTATATAAAATGAACCCCATCATAAAAATGAAATTATGTATAATAAAGGGGAAACAATATTGCAGGAAAGAAAAATACGTAAAACGAAATATTCTCACGGCTCCGGATAACTGTGCTTTCTGTCTGCTACAAGGGGCGGGGGTGGGACAGGTATGGTGAAAAATGGAGAATGTAGGGACAAAAAAGGAGGTGCAATGATCATCCACTTCCTTGTTAAGTTAACCACTTAAAAAAAAAAAGACAAAAACTGCTACTCTAATGACATTCCTTGGTTCCATCAGTCCACACCATCACAGATAGGACTCGCCATGCCAAATTCCCTTCTTATTTTATTAATGAGGCGGAAGTTCTACTCAAACAACTTTGACTCTCCAGAAAATGGTTCTGATAGTTTTCCTACTTTATTTGTTTGGTATCAGCAACGAAGAAGCATCTTATAACTCAGACAGAAATCCACGGTATCGCACGGCATTCATGCCATTTGATCTTTGCTTCAAACTAAACGTTAGATGACAAAGGCCATCCCCTGCCCAACATTCTGCGTCTCGCTGATCACAATCTCTGTGACTTCTCATTTTATCAAGAGAAGTCTCTAGACTTATGAAAAAGCCTCGACTTCAAACAAGCTAGTGGACCCAGACAAAATTCCAGTGGTCGTCAACACAGAATTATCCCCGAATCGCTGCTTGGAGAAATTTTTCCCAAGCCTGTGGAAGAGTAAGTCCGGTCTTCAAAAACTCGGGCCCGCGATCCTTCCTTTCCCAGTATAGACCAATCAATCAGCTCAGTATGATCAGTAAGCTTTTTGAGACTTTAATCAACAAGAAAATGCACGCACACACATACACACACACACATTGCTGATCTCTCTGGGTAGTTTCTCTGTTCCTCATGAGAAAGGCTGACACCCTCAGACCGCAGTGACACTCTCATACCATCATGAGCATTTCCAGGAATATTCCGAAGCTTTTAACTTTGCACTGCAAAATCATTTCAGCAAAGCCACATTAGCTTCTTTCTGTCTGGTGGAGGCAAAACTGTCATGAATTATCCAAAAGGCCATCGCAGCTCGATAAATGGAAACGTCCTTCCCCCACCCAGTGCAAATGAATTCGCATATGTGACGTGCCTCTTCAGGACGTAAGTGGTCATGCATCTCGACAGTTTTGATCGCCGTTGTAGCTCTTAGTAAAGTTTTTCTTTTGCTGTCTCTCATAAAGCCTGATTTGTGGACTATTTAGACAAGTTTGTTAGGTAGATTATGCGTTGCTTTCTTCTGCTCGTCCTGCCTTCAGTATATCCTGCCACTATTAAATTTTCTAAGCATTCTTCCCTCATTATGAGTCCTATAAATTTTAACTGTCTTTCTGATAGCAATTATAAATGTTTTTTGTTTCTATTTTCTCTAAAACTTCGTTGTTGCTCAAATGTTCAGAGTATGTGCGATGACAGAGTATTTGTAACTCTTTTCAGACCGAGTGCCATCATGGGTATATTGAGCCTCGCATATTTGTATATTAGTTTCACTTTATTGGCGACTGGTTTCCTCTCTAAATCATATTAATCATACTAGCATAGTGTAGTCATCATCTCCGGTTGTTTATTTGAAATAAGTTTTATTGTAAAAAAAAAATGAAAATATCTCTGATACATCGTAATAATTAGAAACCAATACTTCAATATCTATAGCAAGGGGCTGTGTAGTCCGACCCTTACTTCTTTCAGAACTGCCCGTAATACACTGTAAAATTGTTCCGGAAAACGCCAAGTACAGCTACGCACAAGCTGTCTAGGCCGAGATTGAAAAGAAACAAAGTGGATCTTGTGAATTCTGGAAGACCACCAAACAAATTATGAACATAGGAAAAGCGTCTGTGCTCGCTATAATAAATGTCTTCTTCGACGGACAAGGCGAAGCTCTGCGGCTCGATCTTTGTTTCAAACTAAACGTTAGATAACACAGGCCATCGCCTCCACAACTTCCCGTGTCTCGCTGATCACAATCTCAGTGATATACAAATTTCATCAAGAGAAGTCTCTAGACTTATGCAAAAACTCGACCACCAAAAAGCCACTGGCCCAGGCAAAATTCCAGTGGTCGTCCTTAAAAATATCAACGTAGAATCATCCCCAATTCTAGTGAAGTTAATAGCTGCTTGGAGAAATCTGTCCCAAGCTTGTCGAAAGAGTAAAGCGTAAGTGCGGTCTACAAAAACACGGGCGAGCGATCCTTCATTTCCCAGTATAGACCTATCAGTCTGCTCAGTATAGTCACTAAGCTTTTTGAGGCTTTAATCAACAAGAATACACACACACACACATATACATACATACATGCATATATATATATATATATATATATATATATATATATATATATACAATAGCTGGTCATATGTATTGGAAGATACCCGTCTAAGGCGGCTAGCATCCCAGATGCTCTCTCGGGTACATTTGTGTATGTTCAACACCCACAGATCCAACTTGTGGTTTATACTTCAACTATGCTGAGCAGACCTTAGTTACAGTTTCTGGGAGACACCGTGTTATCTAGCGTAATCAACAATCTGAATAAGGCCAGCGCACTCAAACCCTCGGTCACGATGACTTGTGTCTTCCGACTAGCACAGCTATCGACGGCCCCCAAGGATTCCGTCTACTCAATTTCACACAAAAAGCTTGGGTCAACCCGTGGTATGGTTCATATATATATATATATATATATATATATATATATATATATATATATATTAAATGGTAGTACTCGCTTGGAAAAACCTTGGATAGTTCGAGTTGTAGTAGAACAAATCGGTACCCAAGGAAAAGTGAGAAATAAAATTAAGAAAGAACCAAGAACATAAAACTAAGGCGAAAACAATCGCCCAGAGTTCAAGCTCAAATCTCTCTCTCTCTCTCTCTCTATATATATATATATATATATATATATATATATATATATATATATATATATATGGAAGTTGAAGACAAGGACTATATCCGAAATGATTAGATAAGAGATATATATTAAAAAACTGTATAAATTCTTTATTTTTCTCCAGCAGAAATTTTGAAAGTAAAATAACGTTGAATTACGTTTCAGTTGTTGTTCTTCAGCAGATACTTACTAAACAGCCCCCACCCCTGGTGACTTTGTTTTGTTCAGAAGAATTTATTTAAAATTTTATTCCATTTCCAGCGTGCCCATTTTTTATTCGAGTATTGGATCTTAATGGAATTTCTGCGAGTGGAGACGGTCTTTATCGCGGGACAATTGGCAGAGCTGCGAGTTTTGACATCAAAGCCGTTAGTAATATTGGGGAATTGTCCGTTGATATATTCCGTAAGTATATGAACAGTTTTTAGAATTACCAATTGTCCTGATTTCAATAACTGTTAAATGACGTCGTAGTAGGGTCATTTACGCTAAAACCAATAATTCTATCTATCTATCTATCTATCTATCTATCTATCTATCTATCTATCTGCTATGGTCCGTATTCCTTGTACCACGGTGATAGTCCAAGATAGAACCAATAAAGAAGAACTCGAACACAGGTATGGAATAACACAGATATATTACAAACAGGAATATATACAGAGAAGTAGAAGTGTTAGTACGAACAATCAGGTTTAGTAGAGAGAACAATGTAGTTTCGACCAGTATCACTATTCCAATATCTTGCAGTAATTGTCTGAACGCGACTCTGTTTCGGACTGCCTCTGACTCGACTCTTGACTCGACTTGAACTACTGACTCGACTTCTTGCCTACTCCTGAGGCGCAGTATGGAATAGTCCATTATTATTATTATTATGGGTAAGATCCCATAACAATATCTGATTCTATTCATTATCTATCTATCTATCTATCTCTGTCAAAATGTATGGTTTCATTTCCGAGAATAGCCGTCTACTGAGACGATTAGCTAATCTCTGTTGCAGACATTCCCTCAGGCACATTTATATTACTCCAGCTCCCACAGGTTGAGAACGAATAGTCTGGAATGATCACCAGTTGGAAGAATGCCAGATCGTTCAAACACACGACAACGATAAATTGCTAGCATAAACATCGATGGCTTCTGACCATTTGTATCTACCCAATTTAATTTGCAAAGCATGGGTCAACCTGTGGCATGTTTTTTTTTTTCTAACTGATGTGGTTTCCTTCCTAGTCTGATAATATCATGTTGTAAACTCCAATACAATTTAACTGGTGAGATTCGATCCCGGGTCTCATGGTTGGAAAGTAAACATTAAAACTACTCAAATACTATGATGGCTGCCACCCCATTGTGTATTGCTATCACAAGATACCATTGTAAGACCTGGCTGTGATTTAAATGGTTATAAATCATTAAATGCGATATACATTTAAAATATATGACACAAAGTCGGAAAACACGTGAAATGTACTTTTTATCATTTCTCCCGAAGCAAGCTAATAAAACCATTGAGATTAAGGAGAGATGATAATACAAGAACAAGAATTAAGAAGACGGAAGATAATGATTGACATAGTATTTAATTTTTTTAAAAGTTGACTGGAAAGCAAAAAGCCGGAGAAGATAGTTCCCCAATCGAGGAGTGCTATAGGAGATAATGTGAGCATAGAACTTACGGTTACATCTAGCCAACTTAACTGTGAATTGATGAGAACTTGCTAATCTATGACTGGGTTTGAATCTATTTTCAGTTGGCTTGCAAACGTTTCTGCTAAAGTGACATGAATTCTCGGTATTTAATGCCATATCTTAGTTGGTTGGTGCCTTTAATATTTGTTCTTTAATTGTTCTCTTTGTTTCATATTATTTTTCCTCATATTCTGTAACACTCAATAACCTCTTGCGTCATAGTGGCATTACTGACTTGCTTAGAGAGAAAGGATAAAAACACGTTTCGCATGTTTTCCAGCTTTTCTCTAAGTAGACACGGTGGAGTAATGGATAGCGGCTCGGATTGAGGGTTCGGAGAGCCGAGTTCTAATTCCTGTTGGATCCATTACAGTCACTTACTTACCGTTGGGTAAGCTGTGAATCCTCTTTTTCTTCCTCATTAGCTACGGGTAAATAGCAGGACTCACTGGGTTGTACAGCCAC